TCTGTGCGACAACGACCGGTCCAGAAAACTATCAGGACGTAAAAGGATCTTCACACCGGTTTGCATCAATGAAGCGCGCGAAAAAAATGTAGATATCTCTTGCCACAACTCATTTAAGCAACCAGAGTAAAGTTTTAGGGATTGATAGAATATTCTCTTGTTCTCGTTCACGCTGTTTCTTAGAGGCTATTTCAAAAGAAAGTATGTTGTGTGTGTAAGTACACCTCTGTATTTTATCGAAGATAGACAAAAAACAACTGATTAGCTAAGTAAATGTGAAAGGAACATAGTTTTGCTCATTTGTTGGTGAACTGGATACGCCGTTTTCGTAGCAGCTAAATAGCAATTTTTACTTATGGGGTGTGCCCGGGCGCAACGGGCACTCTCCCTGGCTACGGACCTGATAGGAGGACGCAAAATCTTGATTTCTACTAGCATTCTTTCAGGTACAACTCAAAATTTTGCTTTCCCCTAGAGGGATTTTAATCGCCCTAGATTTTGATTTCCACTACGACAATATATATATGAAAATTTTGTATGTTAGATAAGCATTTTTCAAATTTTCTATGGTTTTAGTTATCCAAAAGAAAATGTTTTATCTAAATTCTTTATCGCGGTGTACATTAACATCAGTTCGACAATGTTTTCTGAAATACTCCTCTGTCCGATCCACTGTAAGTATAAATGAATATCTTTTTTCTGATCTTACTATACTAATTGCTCTTGCATTATTGTTTCTAGTATACCTGGCCAAGAATAGAGGGAAGTGATTTATTATTTACCGTTGATACATTTCCGTCTTGCAATGATGCTACTATCGGCGCGAAAATACAGTGCGGGTGCTTATTTCTTTAATAACTTTTGATGAGAATGTGACAGAGACCTGCGATTTTCAGTTTTGAAAACTAGACACCTGACCACATATTTCTGCAATTAAAAGCGAATTTGGAAAAACTTCTGAAGCGGGTTTTTCAGAAGATCTTTGGAAAACTAGCTTGGATTTTCCGAAATTCATATAGGAATGTATTGATTTTTTTTCATGAGCTGATAGCTCGGGATGTTCTCTTCAAAATGGGAGCAAAGTGAGACCTTGATTTTCTGCGATTCGGGCGTTGTATCGGATTTTCGGCGAGTCCCAGGACTGGCACCCGGTGACTATTGGTAGCTATAAAGATGAATGGACTATGGATAATCGACCATGCTGAGTCTCCTGGCGATATTTTCTTTTAGAAAAGTTTTTAAAAATCTACCGAAAAGCCAGTTTTACGAAAATTAGGGTTTCCAGGCTCTTTTCACCTAATATTAAAAAATTCAATATTCACTCAAAAACCATCAGAACAAGCTCAAAATGTCAGGATATGATCAATGTTGTCCGCTAAACGTGATTAGGAGATCGAAGAAATCGAAAAGCATATTTTATGTTAAAAGGTTTTCCAGAAAACCGCTCTACTATACAACGACATCTGTTTGATTCTCCATATAACATTAATGACCAATACATTTGAAGAAACTATCATGAAATCGTTATTTGGTATAGATAAAAGCAAGTTAGATACACTACAACCAAATGTATTGACTGCAATTATCCAACGACTAGAAAATAAATTGTATTTCATGGATGGTAAAATTAACACTCTGCAAGAAAAATGTAATGGTTTACAATTAATTGTTAATAATCAGAATGTTCCCATACAATCACTTCATCAATCATCCTCTTCTATTACTGATCAACATAATGCAATATTAAAAATCGTTGACAATCTTACAATAACAATTGATCATTTAAACAATAAATTACCAAGTTGTTTTTCTAATCAGCAGTTTGATTCTTTATCGCTACGATCACAAAAAAACACTTCTCAATTAGTCTCATCAACTTCAACATCAGAAACATATCCATTACCCAACGAAGATACTTTGACTAAAGTTCTTTCTCATCAAAACAGTCATCCATCACCAATTAAATCACCACCTTCAGCTGTTCCTATTACGATCACAGGCAGCAGCATTATTCGTAATTTATTACCGGGTATTATGAATTATAATGGAAAAGACTGTAATATAAAAATAAGAACTAAAGGTGGTGCTTGTATAAACCACATCAGTAATTTAGTTAAAACAAATAGAATAGACAAGCAATTTTCAGACTCTAAACATGTTATCATTTCAACTGGATCGATCGATATTAAACGTATTACACCAGAATCTGCTATTCAAAATATTAGAAGTCTAATAAGAACGTTCAAAGAAAAATTCCCGGATACTTCATTAGCTTTATGCACTTTACCATATCAATATGATCCTAGTCTTAAACCAAGTCTTCAACAACAATTAAATAAAGATATTGAAGATTTTACTTTATTTCTATTTTTGGATTTGTTTTAGGATTTTTATAGCGGTGCAGAACCCGTGACACGACATTTTTGCGAACGATATTACCACGAACAGGACTCGGACTCTTCCACTTTTTCATAGTACACATTTGGGTATTTTTGGTAGTGTATATAACGGATTAACCATAACGTCTGGACAGGCCGTATATCAGCTGAGAGTCAGAATCAATGAGCTGAGACTTTATTTACCGATAAGAACAAGAAAAAATGAAGCGTGTATTTATTAGATTGTGGAACGTTTATATTTCCAGAATAACGTATGACTAGTGGAAAACAAATGTTTTTATATAATAGAAAAATAGCAAAGAAAAGTCAACGTTTTTGGAGTTGGACGATAATATCGCCCTATGACTGTCTGCTATTACTATTTAAAAGTGTCTCTACAGGTGGTAAATAACCATGACTAATGCGAAATTGGTATTTGAGAAAGATTTGACTAACTATTGTACTAGAAAACTTGTATGTATAACTATGTCTAGAAGGACATGTTATTGAAAATAGTAAAAATGCTTGAAATTGTGATTCCGTTAAGCATTCAAAACTATCAGGATGATATAAATGTGAATCGGTACCCCATACTGATGTATCACAATGTATTTTACTGATATCAATCACCATCTGTGCACCGTCGGCTGCTCTTAGTCGATGAACTGATCTTGATGGCGGATACAACCCTAAGGTTTCCTGAATAACATGTTTTTAGAAGGCGATGGTTACCATCAATAGAACTATTTCTCAATTTTTGTAACAAAACGAGTCGACGAAGTAACTCTAACATTGTGTAAAAAATAAGACGCCACATTGATTCATACCCAGGCATCACTATATTTAAAATATTATTAAATAAATCACCAAGATTTGTTACATTTAACTTATCTGCTATTTTTCTTCTATCAGAAACCATGACCTGTCGTATTTTAGTCCAGTTCTCATTCTCATTATGATTTAAATCATCAGAATGTATCTCATTTCTCAATAAACTAAACAGTGCATTAGATAGTGTTTCTGTGTCTTCGCTTATTTTCTGCTTCAACCATATTTTATTGATTAATGTGGGAAGCTCGTTTAACAGTTTTCCTGATGAATTCAAGTTAAAAAACGTTTTGAGAAACGAATGTAAAGTTACTCTTTGTATCCAATGTGACAACGTTAATTCTTCTAATTCAACAAACCGTTCTGTAATAATATCATTAACATCTTTTAATAAACACTGGTATTTCATGTTATTAAGTAGCAAACAAGAATGAGTCGTATCGCCGAATGCCTTTTGATAATCGATATTATCAATTACGAACCCGTTACAAATTCCGAATTTTTCAATCATCCATTTGTTGGATGGATGACGTTGATAGATTGAGGTTGATTTTAAAACTCTACGCTACTTTGTCTGTATAAACAAAGAAAGCGCACAGTTCTTAAAGAACTGTTGAACTTTATATCAATGAAGTGATGTGAAATGTACACAGCGGCACTACTTTTTTTTTTGTACTAGGAAATTCAACTAGATATTGATCAAGCCTGGCCAAGTGGCTTACGGCCCCCCGGGCCCTCGTCCCGTGGGGGGGGGGGGGGGGGGCCGCCCGGGG